ATATTTTGAAAAGGTGAAGCTGGTGTATTTTGTTTCATTTAGTTATTAATTCAGGTATGCTAGATCGCGCTGCATATTCTTCGTGTTGGTGGAGTCACTGTGAGGAATGTGGATAAGGGTTTCCTTTGGCATGAAGAGGGTTTAGAGTTCAAACCGGGAGGTTTTATGCTGGCTAAATGTGGTTTCTTCTATTGGGTAGGTGAGAAAGTGGGAGTGGAAAAAAGAAAGCTTGCTGTTGCTAGGGGCGTTTCCTAGGGGTTTGAGTGGGCTACTACTGATGACATCTACTGTTACTTACAAGCCCATGGGACCATTTCAGAAAAGATTCCAGTTGTTGAGGGAGTCACTACTCTCTGCCAGGCTCAGACACACACAAAATATCCCTACTCCCGAGACCCCTCGGTGACAAAAAGCCTACTCAGGGCAACTTCCCGGCTCCCCCAATGTGCTGCGCGTGTGTTTTCTCTCTCCACCTCGCCTTCCCGTGGCGCCGGCTCAACCCGCCCAAACTGCAATCAGCTTGGGAGTTTGTGGGACTGCCCACCTGTGGTGCCAAAGATGTGCGCAGTTTCAACTGCACTGGAGTTGGGACAGTGCCCATTAGGAATCTATGGTCCCAATATTAGTGATAAAGTCATGTGCAGACATCTTGATGCCACTAAGCTGACCCAAGCCTTTTCAGTGACCCACTGCAGGGGGAGCGAGCAAACCCTCCTGGGGCACCAATAGGCTCTCTGCTTGGGATTCAGTGGTGCTGGATGTGCCCGTTTGCACCTAGCCGACCCAAGTTACCAATAAAATCAGGTGCTGAAGGTCGACCCTTGTGATGATCGCTGTTTTGCTGGTGTGGTCACTGGTGTGCTGATATTGGGTGTCTTCTGCCTTGATCCGGGGGGGGGGGGGGGGGTCTGGGATGGCCCTTATTGCCTGCTGGTCAGTCCCCCAGGGAAGTCTCTAATGGCCTTTCTCAGCTGCCTGTCCCTGTTCCGCAGAGTAGATTCTCTTTGTTTTTTTCTCCTGTATCTTTCCTCTAATTCTTCTCTTAGTTTGGTGCACTCTGACTCAGTGAGCTGTTCAGAGCACCAAAATCCCTAATTCAAACTGCTGTACTAATTTTTCAAGCACTAAGTTGCTAGAGGGAAATAGCATGGTGATTACTGATGAGACTCCATTTTGAACTCGCCCACTAATTTTCTATTTTAAATACCCGCAACTTCTTTTATTCTTTGTCAATCTAATTAAAGGTTTGTCTGTTTGTTTTCTTTTTGACAAATCAACTTCTGATTTCATTGATAATATTGTTTTATTACTATTTTATTTATCTCTCCTTTGATCTCTATTATCTCGTTCCTTCCTATGCTTTGAGTTTGATTTGCTGTTTTGTTTTTTTTTTTAAGTTCTTCAGGTTGTAAAGTTAGGTTATTGATGTTTGAGCTTTCTTCTTTTTTAATGTAGGCATTTAGAGCTGTAAATTTTCCTGTGAGCACTGCATTCCATAAGTTTTGATATGCTATGTTTTTATTTTCATTACAGTAAGTATTTTCTGATTTCTCTTTTGATTCCTTCCTGACCCATTGGTTGTTTAATAGTATCTGTTTAATTTCCATATATATGTGTATTTTCCAGTTTTCTTCCTGTTACTAATTTCTAGTTTCACTCCATTGTGGTGTGTGAAAATACTTTGTATGATTTAAGCTTATTAAGACTTACTTCGTGACCTAAATTGGGTCTATCCTGGAGAATGATCCATGTGTACTGGAGAAGAATATATGTTGTGTTGTTGTTTGGTAGAGTGTTCTATATATATCTGTTAGGTCTAGTTGGTTTATAGTGTCATTCATGTCCTCTATTTCCTTATTGATCTTCTTTCTTGATGTCCTATCTTATACCTTCTCCCCACCCCATTTCCTCTAATATTGACAATTTTCTCTGTTTTCTTGCTGTTATTAAATAAACTATTTTGATTACTTCCTCCTCTATTTTTGTGTGTATTTTTCAGACTTGTTCTTTGTGGTTATTGTAAGCACTGCTTTAACATTTTGTGTTTATAACAGTCAGGATTAAATTGCTATGAATTTAACTCCAGTAATATACAGAAACTGTATACCTATATCACCCCATCCAATCCCATTTGTGTCGTTGTTACCACCAATTACATCATTATGCATTATGTGCTCCATAACATGCATTTAAACTTATTTTGTATATATTTCTATTTGTCATTGTAAAGCATGACAGACATAACCACTAATATCACCAAGCAAAAAAAACTTGCCCTTACATTTATTTTTTATTGAGATCCTTTTTGTTTCTCAATGCATGTCTTTGAGTTATTGTCTGGTATCCTTCCTTACAATCTGAAGGATTTAGCAATTAGCATTTCTCATAAGGCAGACCTAGTGATTGTACACTCTGACCTTTGTTTATCTGGGGATTGCCCTACTTTTGCCATCAAGATGAAAAGAGGGTTTTGCCAGGTATAATATTCTTGGTTGACAGTTCTTTTATTTCACCATTTTGAATATGTTACTCCATTGCCTTCTCATCTCCAAGGTTTCTAAGGATAAATCAACACTTAAATTTATTGGAGATTCTTTTATGTGACAATTTTCTTTTCTTTTGCTGCTTTCAGAATTCTCTGTCTTTTGTTTTTGAGAGCATGGTTATAATGCATTTTGGTGTGGATTATTTTGGGTTTATCATTATCTTCTGGGGATCTCATGATTTGTATATCAATTCACTTGATGTTGTCTCATAATTCCATTAAAGTGACCTCAGCAGTCTAGAGCCTTCTCCCCTATTGCTCTTCAGACTTCATAATTTTAATTACCTTATCTTCTAGTTCAAGGAGCTCTGATGGTATAGTGGTTAATGCATTTGGCTGCTAACCAAAAGCTTGGTGGTTCAAACCCACCAGCCACTCTGTGGAAGAAAGATGAGGAAGTCTACTTCTATAAAGATTTACAGCCTTGGAAACCCAGTGGGGGGTACTATGAATCAGAATTGACTTGATAGCAGTGAGTTTGGTTTGACTTGGTATCTTCTAGTTCACTGATTTTTTTTCTATCTGCTCAAATCTGTTAAACCTTTTCAATGAGTTTCTCTTTTCAGTTATTATCTTTTTCAGTTCCAATATTTCTGTTCAGTTTCTTTTTATAGTTTTCATCTCCTTATTTAAATTGTTATTTTGTTCATGTCTTGTTTTCTTTGACTTTCTTAAATTCTTTGTATTTTCCTTTAGTTCTTTGATCTTGTTTAATCTTGTTTTATTCTATCCTTCCATTTTGTTCATGATTTGGGCTTCTAGAAACAAAGGGGGAAATTCTCTCCCTTTGTCTTGCTCACTTTATGGTTATCATTTCCATTTTTATGTGTGCCATGCCATTTTCATGGAAGCCAGAACATTATAATTTTACAAGGTGTTGACTTTCTCAATTCTCCCAGTATCCAGCGCTTTTACAGCATCCTTTCTATAAAAACTCTTAGGCAGGCAGAACTTCAGACTTTGCTTACTGCTCCCTTTTCCTCTTTGTGATGATTCTGTTTCAAAAAGTTCAGGTTTCTATCTAGACCTGCTCACCATCTCTCATCTCCCAAACACAAAACAGAACGGGCACTAATCAATTTGTCCTCCAGGGAGCATAGCCTTCGTTCTTTGGTTATCCCTCTTCCTCTCTTCTATGAGGGCTACATCTGACCACATTGGCAGTTAGGAGTTTTCTGATCAGAAAGTCCACACTGAATGAATGGCTCTCCAGCACGTGTAACCTTCAGCCTCTGTTCTCTGTTCTCTCTCCAACTCTGTGGGGCCTATTTCTCTCAGAGCCAGAGATTGAGATCCCTTCCCATTTTCAGGGCAGCTGCAGGTTGACTGGGACCATGACTGCTATCTTTCGATCATGCCAGGAGGGGAAGGGCAGGCACACCTGGAACAGACCAGCAGGGGGACCTATCTTATTAATTTCAAAGCAAGAGCTCTAGCCTCTTCTCTGTGCACAGATAGGCTGTGGATTGGCTGGAGGAATGAGCTCTGTGGCAGTTGGTAGTCTGCACACACTACTACTGCAGTCCATGGTGACTGACAGCCCACTGCACCAGGAGGGAGAGAGGTGGGTAGTATGGAAGAAATGTTTGTCCCACCATGTGAGGCTTATTGTTGATTTGGGTCCATCTTTAGTCCTGTTGCTGTCCTATATGCACAAATTCAGAGTTCTGCAGAACCAAACACAGTTCTCTTGCTGTGTTTCTTACTGTGCCTGTGGGGAGGATTGGGAAATTAGACCTACTCATGCTGCCATTTTCCCAGAATCTGACAGTAGTTTTCATTCATGATAACAATAAAAAGTTTCTTCCAAAACACATTAATTAAGCAGAAAAATGGAAGCTGGTTTGGTAAAAAGTATAAATAACTCTGGGCAGCATCCTTACCAACCAATAGACTTGAGTCTGCTCTCTGTCTCCCACAACACATTGGAGTCAGTGGGAGGTAACAAATTTCCAATGACCATTTTCCAGTGGTGGAATTTGGGACAAAAAAATACAAACACAAATAAGTGTGTACAATACTAGGTTTCCCAGTAGTGCAAAAGGGGTGCAGTGGCCACCATGACACTACTCTGTAGCTTTGGCATACTATTTGGGATCTCTGGGACTTGATTTCCACAGTGAGGATGACTCTTCAATGCATGGGGCTGCCTCATCAAATGCCCACATGTAGTAGTACTCCACATACATACCTGCTCTCCTTCCCACCCCACTCACCTGGGGCCACAGCACATCCTGCAAAGCCCAGGCAGATGTGCTTGTATATTTGCTCTACCACCCTGGTTCTTGGCTGCCTTACTGCAGCCCCAGTCCCACAAAGGCTTCAGGCGATACTTCCCATATGCTCACAAGCCCCTCTGCTATGAGCCTTTTCCTGAGCCCTTCTGTGATGAAAGCCACCCATCCCCTGGTCTGGGTGAGGCCACAGAGGACAGGCCCCACACACTGGTACTAACAGATGGATCTGGTGGGAAGATGGGGTCCTCATTCCAGCTGAGGGGGCCACTGAAGGCCTTGAAGGTCTCACTGTTCTGCTTGTGCTTCTCAATGGTGGCCCTGATGACCTGGAAGAATATGACAAAGTCAGGGAGCACATCCAAGGCAGGAACAGAGTGGGGATGTGTGTGACCCATACCCAAGGACCACCCAACCACAGGGTTATCTTATCTCACCCTAACCTGAAATGTCACATTCCAGCCCTGCTCAAACAACTTAATGGAAGGTTTGTGAATCTGAAGGTGCTTCTGAAGAATATCCCTGCCACTGCATCACTGTAAAGCTGGGCAGGTGGGGTCGAAGGTGTCTGGGTCACTGCGACAGGGCAGTGGGGCTCAATAACCTGGTTACTTGGTTACTTTAAACTTTAAAGGCTTTACCTGGATCCATTCATTCTTCTCTTCCTCTGTCCTACAAAAACAAAACCAATATTTTATTAACCCAAGCTCTGATACTAATTATAAACAAGCAAGCTGATTCTCAGTGAACACCTGAGCACACATCTGAGTACCACACCTAAGCATCAGGGGCTGCTTTGCCACTTGCTGCCATCTACATGCAACTCAAGTGCTTATAAGACAGACTCTGAGGGCTCTGAATCACCCGTGGCTGGGTATGGTGTGTGGAGTGCCACTTAACTCTACCTGACAGTGGATGCAAATCTATGCCTCTTGTATTGCCCAGTGCATTCTTGCTGGACTATAATGTATCATTACAAAAATCTCTTGGTGGTAGGAGGTGGAAGATGGATTTGCCTGTGCACTCTCAGTCACAGCACAACCCAAGCATCTGCTTCAGTGGGAAGCTTGAGAGCAGCCATCAATATTTAAAACTCACATCTTACTCTTTGACCAGCAGCTCTACTTCAGGAATTTATCTGATGGATATAGTGACACATATGCACAGAGACCCATGTGCAAGTGTAACCCAGACTTCAGCACTGTTTGCAGTAGCAAAGTCAGAGGAGCCCACACACCTGTAGATGAGGAACTGGTAAATGGTTATAATGGGGAATTTTATGCCTTTAGGAAATGATCCTTGAGTATACAATGATTTCAGGCTTTACAGTAAACTGGCATTTGGGATAAATAATAATACATACATAAATAAATATGCATGTGTATGTACATTAAAAATTCTAGAAGAACACTTAAAAGATGGTCAGTCAGGGATGGGGAGGGGTAAGGGCTGGGCAAAGGCTTAATATTTGCTATATTCCTCTTAGCACTGTTATGTTTTAGAACATGAATAAATCAGTAAATTAATGGATGAAATGAATGAGTAAATAAGAACACAATGCAGTTACACTGTTTAGAAAATGAAATAATGTGCCAAAATGTCAAGTCAGAGATATTCACCAAATAGCAGATAGTTAGAAATAAACTATGCCCTACCGAGTTTGAAGCTCCAGGGACCTTTTCCTTCCTGTTATTACAAATGTATGTACTGCATTTAGCTTGTCAATATCCTGTACCTGAAGAAATAGTAACAAAAATAAAGTAATCATGTTAGCAGGTCTTCAATCCAGCCTCATCCCTTTCCAACCCTAGAACTCTTCTCTGAGGAATTAGAAGAGGAGCCTATGATCCTATTGGGATGCCTTGGCTTAGACCACAATGTCACATTTCAGTGACATTTATTACATCCTTTGGGTTGTACAACACTTCTCACCTTCCTTTTCCTCTTACATGAGTTGCTTTGATAGGGATGAGGGACACCAACCACTCCAGCCAACACAAGGTCAGATTTATTATCGTTTGTGCCTCTCCACAGCATGCATCTCTTAAACGGTTTTTATTATTATTTTGCTTTATTGAAATTACGAAGTAATTTTTATTTTCTTCACACTTCTGTTTTCTAAATTCCCTGCAAGCAACATAAATTACTTTTTATTTTTTGTTGGTCTTGTTGCTGAGAATATACACAGCAAAAAGAACACCAATGAAAGTTTTTACACATACAATTCAGTGAAATTGATTACATTCTTTGAGCTGTGCATTTATCCTCACCCTCCTTTTTTGAATTGCTCCTTCCCCATTAACATAAACTCACTGCCTCCTAAGTTTCCTATCATTTTGAGTTGCTGTTGTCAATTTGAACTCCTACAGATAGATCTTAAAATGCTCAAGATAGACATTCTTTACTGGTTCAGCTAAACTACTGTCTGATTTTAAAAGACTTCAGGGAATATTTTTGGTTTAAGGTTTAAAGATTATCTCAGGGCAATAGTTTTAGGGTTACATCCAGCCTCCATGACTCCAGAAAATCTAGATTTCATGAGAATCTGAAATTCTGTTCTGTATTTTCCTCCTTTTGATCATGATTCTTTTAGAGAATCTTTGATCAAAATGTTGTAATAGTAGCTGAGCACCATCTAGTTCTGGATTCATGGCAAAGGAGGCAGTTGTTCATGGAGGCAATTAGCACATATTCTATTTCCTCCTATTCCTGACTCTCCTTCTTCCTCTACTGCTTCAGATGACTAGAGACCAAAGGCTGTGCCTTGAATAGACACTTGCAAACTTTTAAGACAGCTGGCTCTATGCAATGAACTAGAAGGCAGAACAGAAGCATTAACCTCTAAGCAAGAAATGAAATCCCATGAGGTATTTGTTGCACATAAGAAGCCTCAGCAACTACTCTTACTTTAGTCATTGTAGATATATCTATCATACAACTTTTGCAAATTCAGCTTTTTACAGGTATACAACTTATTGACAGTAATGTACAGCTCTACCTTAGAGACTGTTTCATAGGAACAATGAGATCCTCACCACTCTGCAGACATTACTGAGTCACAGGGTGCAATGCTATGTGCTATGATTTCAGGTCTGCCCAACATCTCTCTGTTCGTGAGAAGGGTATGATATGCTTGGCTAAGGTGGATACTCACACACTCAGCACTCCACCACCATGTACCCATCACTCTAGGACCCACTGGGAAGGAAAGAGCACTGCCCAGCAACAGATGACCACCCCAGTATGTCTTGGCTTCAAATGTCAGAACTGATGGAATATAGTTCTGATGTATAAATCACATCCTCAAGAATTCATCTTCTAAGAAAAATAAAGTAGGAGGTCTCACACTGCCAGATCTCAAAACCTACTATA